CTGTTGTGTTGTATGATCTTATTGAACATGATATTATTGCTAATGCTAGGACATTTCTAAAAAATTTTCCTTGAAAAGGGAGAAACTTAAACTCAGCGAAAGAAAATTGAAAAATAACTTGAGATTGCAAATAATTGGTGGCCATAAATTTTGTTATTTGATAAGTGAATGGGTACCTTCATAAATGTTAGAAATTAATGCCAATATACTTAGTAAGATGAAGTTTGAAAGGTGGAAGAGAACGAAAGAAAATAGATTGAAGATTGTTCCTACACATTCTCAAATGGTAATTTTACTCTCTTTCTAGATGTGATTGCAATCATATGTGTGAACAATTTATATTTCAGTAAATACATTTTATGGCTGAGCATGAATAACATTATAAAAAGAGGTGTTGTTGATTTTTTGAACTTGTTTTTGCTAACATAAACTATATGTATCAGTTGTTATAACCAATGAGAAGAAACAATTTTTGTAATTTGCTTAAGCAATCAAATTATTTTATTCATGGTCATATAAGCAAATGTGTGAGTGTAATTGTATGTCTGGTATCTATAATAACCTGGTGAATAAAATTTTTCTATAGACTATGGTGTTAGATGATTTAAGACTGAGCTGATAATTGGTATGCTAAAACAAAATCATAGAAAAGTATCCAGAATTCATGTATAGTTTCAGATGCTGTAATTTTTTGCTTTGATTTTTGATAAAAATTACTTGGTTAAGGTTTTAGATTTGTACCAACATTAATACATCACATGTATGCAAATATTTTCCCTACACATTTATTTATATATAATTGAAACATTATGGAAATTTAATAATTCTAGTTTTTGTTTCAGGACATTTCTTTGTTAAAGTTCTTGCCACTATATTGATCGATGTTATTATTTATTTTCTTGTTAAAGTTCTTGCCACTATATTGATGGATGTTATTATTTATTTTCCTTACACATGTATTTCTATATAATTGAAACATTATGGAAATTTAATAATTATAGTTTTTTGTTTCAATACTTCTTTTGTTAAAATTCTTTGCAACTGTCATTGCGAGTGATATTTTCCTAGTGACAATCAGTGTTATGAGTAAACTTTACCCATATTTGCCTTTGAGCTTACCCCTTGGACTATGTGGATCCCTCCGAGGTATACTAAAGATGAGGTTTAGTTAAGTAGTTTGTGAGGTTGAGAGTTCTATTGACATTATTACTATGTAAAATATTTACCTGCTTAAATCATTGAGAATTTGAATCTACCTAGAAAAAGGGGAAGTTCGTAAGCTATAGAGTGTTGATGGTTTGCAATACAGTGGTGTAGCTTAGTTTTAAAATTTTCTGTTTTTCTAATTTATCGGTAGTATTTGATTTACATGTAGCTGAACGCATGCTGTTGCGTAGCAATAATTTGAAAATTGAAGGATTCTTATGGTTGTCATTGAGAAATATTCAAAAAATCAGGTGCATGTGTATGGATTGGTGATACTACAAAAAATTTGAAATTTAGCTACAAAATATTTCGTAACAAAAGGTAATGAATCATAGCAAAAAATTTTTTGCAACGAAATTAATTTCGTCGCCTATACCGCATTAGTAAAGGTTTTTTTACGACAAATATGACTTTCATAACAAAAAATAAGTTTTTTACAATTGAAAGTTAATAAAAGAGATATAACTACAAAAATATGATTTCGTAGCTAAAGATTTTTTGCTTTAAAAATAAAATTCATAACAAAAGAGTTTTAGCAACAAAATATGTATGATATTTTTAGCTAAATGATTTTAACTATGAAAAAAAACTTAACCACGAAAATAGATATTTCTTGCCAAAAAATTTTAAAGATGAAATTAATTTTGTAGTATATAATTTATTTTTAGCAATTAAATTAATTTTTGTTGTTAAATGACACATTTTAACTACAAAAATATTTCGTAGTTAAAAATATTGTAGCTAATTAGATAATTTTTTTGTAGTATGAACTTCCCAAATTCTGAGGAAAGTAGATGATAGTAGCTCCATTAGGAATGACATTTTATCAAATTAACCACTAAGAACAAGTCATTAAGAGATGAAAGCTGGTATTGCAAATTATCAAGTATTTTTAAAAAATTTAAAATTTGTACACTAGTAAAGCAAACATGAAATATGATTTGTTTTGACTTAGTCTCTGTATTGCCATGTTCCAAAAGTTCATTAAGCAAAATAAGTTCCGTAGGAATTAAAATTTTATGGGTAAACTATACAACACTCCTTTTGTTTTAGTAAACATGTACAAAACATCCTGTGTTTTATTTATTGCGCGAAACCTGTTAATGTAAAATTTGCACGAAACACTCTTATTGTCCAAAACTAATATTTAGTTCTAAATAAATACCTAAATTAAACAAGTTTTATACAAATAAAAAGCGCAAAATATCTTAAATAACTTTTTTGCATTAAATAAATAAATAAATAATTTATTAATCCTTCATTTTATAGTTTTTGGAGACAAATTGTTGCCTGATTTTTATAAAAATTATAAAAATAAATGATTGATCAATTATTTATTTATTTATTTTTATTCAAAAAAAATATTTAAGATATTTTACGTTTTTTATTTGTATAAAACTTACGTAATTTAGGTCTTTATTTCGAACCAAACATCAGTTTGGGACAAGAAAGGTATTTCATGCAAGCTTTTCACTAACACAAGGAGGTTTTACGCAATAAATAAAATACAGAGTGTTTTGTACATTTTTATTAATATACAAGGATGTGTTATATAATTTACCCAAACTTCATCATAATACACCTAGAAGTATAACAATCTATAATTGCAATGCACATTGATATTAATATGGTCTTATCATCTTATATATGCTTTCTATACCGTGTTGTGTAGGTGGTGGTGTCGGCTGACAAGAAGGCATCAAATCCATTGGCGAGAGAACTATACGGTGGAAAGGAACTTTCTCATTATATATACATATATATATATGTAATTTGTAGCTGGTAATGGATTCATTGGTGGATGTGTACAGTTCAGATATTTGTAAATATGTAGGTATTTGGTATTTGAACCAAATCGAACAAATAACCGAAATCGTGAATCGTATTCGAACCAAAATTTTCAATTAACCGAATTACTAAAAATATTTGCAGTATTTGCAAATAATTTGAATGGAACCGAATTGAAAAATAAATATATTAAAAAAGTAATAAAAATTTCAATTAATTAAAAATATTTGCAAATGTTTTGAACCGAACTGAACCAAAAATCGAACATAAGTTATTTGCAAATGGTCCATCATTTTCTCTTGAATTAAATCAAGGGGAGCAATCTAATCTACCAGTAGCATCCGATAAGTCTGATGACCCGGTGCTACTATGGTTGAAATTGCTAAAGTTATTTATGTACTATTATTTACATTCAAATTTACATTCAAATCATTCAATAGATCATTGTATTTATATTATTATTATTATTATGTATAGAAAATTTCAATTAGCGTAGCAAAGATCCATAAATAAAAATAAAAAGTTAAAACTTTAATTTGAATTTTTTTTTACATAATATATTAATTAAAATAATATATTTTCTTTTATATACTTAATTTATGTTGAAATACTAAAAATTTAATATTTTTTGTGATTGAAATTCAAGTACAAATATTTAGCTAGGTTCGATTTTTAATCACACACAAATCTAAAATTTTAATAATTGATTGGTTTACTATCTAATTTCCTGTTATTTGTTGTTATTTTATTTATTTATTTATTCGTAATTTGTTAAATTCCACGCCAACGCCGTAGAGTAACAGAGAGAAATTTATTGAACATACTGAAATACTGACTTATCATACCGTATTGTGTCAAAAATATCAAAAAAAATTTTGGTACGATATCAGTATGAATTTTTGAAAAGTTCAATATTTCGATATAATATCATATCAATATTATTTTTATTAAATCATTTAATTATTAATATAAATAATAATTATTATTTTTTTTAAAATTATAACAAAAAGATATATATGTAGACTATTGGAAATTTATTGATTTTTTTTATAATATTTTTACGGTGGAGAACAGTGATATTTATTAATTTTTTTAATTATTTTAAAATTTAAAAAAAAAAATTAATTTTCGGTATAAGCGGTACACACTGCTATCGTACCAAAATTAAAATTTTCGATATAAACGGTATATACATGTACCGTACTGAAAGTTTACGGTACCGATATATATTTTCGCCATACCAAAAAATTAGTTACGATATCGCGGTACTGGTATATATTTTCGCCTTACTAGAAAAAAATTCGGTATAACATCGGTATTTTCTGTAACGTGTCCAATCACCGCTTAGACCATCTCCAACCAAGGAGATTTTCCTCTATTTTTGCACGGTGGGGACTAAAAAACTGCTTCAACTGTAAAAAACTGCTTCAACCCACCCTGCAGTTTTGCAGAACATTTCTTTTTTAATATAATTATCTATTTATTTATGTAGTTATTTATTTATTTATTTTTAATATTATCTATTTATTTATGCAGTTATCTATTTCTTTTTTTATATTTATTTATTTAATTTTTATGTTATGTTGTACTAATTATGTTTAATCTAATAATATTGTTTTTTTTAAATTTATATTTATATTTTTAATAATATTAATATTTTTATGCTTTAATTTAAATATACATTAAAATATTAATAAATATAATTTATTGGTATAATATTTAAAATATTAATTAAAAATATTATTATAATTTAAATGTATAAAAATAATTAAATATTAAATTTTATTTGTAATTTTAAAAATATTTTTTAACTTTGTAAAAATAGAAAGTATGATTAACAAGAGACTCTGCAAATAATAGAAAGTATGGTTCTATATGAATTATTATAGCAGACATGAAGAAATGTACTGTAAACTTAAAATAATAATAATAAAAAATAAATAAAATTATGAATCGGAGATGTTCTTACGTCGATTAGGGTTCAGAAAGAGGGCAAATCTGATTAATTAAAGGAATCCCTCCAAAAGATCAGAGAAATTTTGTCTTTTTTCTTCAATCGCCTATTTCGATCAGACACCTACAACGCAGAAGCACTCCAGGAGGCGAGGAGAGAGTCGACTCGAGTCGGTGAGATGGGAAGGGGAAAATTCAAGGGCAAGCCCACTGGGCGCCGCCACTTCTCAACCCCTGAAGATCTAATGTGTACGTTTTTCAATTACGAGTATTTACGTTTGCTTAGGATCTGGTCTTGACTTAGCTTCGGTGTTTGGTATGGTAGCCGATGTTGTGGATACGAAGAATTGATTGTGAATGTTTGGAGTTTTACTTGTGTCCTTTGTTGGGATATTGTCCTTTATTTTGGGGGAAATTGTTAGGATGGAGTTTATTCTTAATGACGTTCATTAGCGCTGACAGCATTTGAAGCCCTTGATTTGATTTGGTTGTTAGCTGTGGTTAGGGTTGTCTTTTGCCTACACCTCGGTAATATTTCCATTTACGATTTTCCTTTGTACAGTGAATTATGAACAGCTGATGGGCTTAATTATCAATATAGGGAATCTTTTTTTATATATTTTTAGGTTTTCCCTTCCAATCGATTCTGTCCACAATTGCATGTGCTTTATTCAGAAAAGACTTGGTTTGGGAATATATATTTTATTCCCAGAATTCTGTAGAAGTGTATAAAACAAACATATTATTCGGAGTCTTACATTTACTGAACCTGTCCCTTAACCATTCTTAATCTTAAGAGTTTCAATCTTTCGATTTTCAAGAATTCAAACAAACAGATGCAGTAATGAATCTTGTAGTCTGGCCTAATCTAATTAATCCACCATCTCCTTTCTTGTTCTTCCAAACATAACACAATACAGTAGTTGCTGCAATTTTATTAGAACAAAAATAAATAAATAAATAAAATATAATTTAGAAAAAGAAACTTTATTAAAACAAAGAGAGGAGGGAGAGGAGCCAGCCCATACTGTGTGCATATTTTTATCTACTTTCTTGGACAACATGCATCAACAGCCTTATGTAACCGCTAGCTGCAACATTTTAATTTGGTAGACGATGACTGAGATGTCTTTTCATTACATTATTATTATTCATTATATATGATTTATATATACTTTTTCTTTTTCAATCTTCTTGTTTGATTAAACAAAAATTGGATCACACATATACAATTTGCGCTTTTCTGGTAGAGGCTTATGCTTGGTCGATTATTCCTCCCACCATAGAGCCTACGTAGATTTAAAGTCTTCAATTCACAGTCCACTAGTTAGATTTTCTGCTTCTTTTATTACAATTCAAGAATGTGCTTGTCAATGTTGGAATTTGATGCTCAATGGGTTCTTGTTGTCTTCTCTCTGTTTACTCAATCTGGATAGGAATGAGATAACCTTGGAACAAAACGCCCGTGTTGACTTTAGCCACAGGAACAACTTCCTTAGACGCGCCCGTGTTGAATTTGAAATGTTTTTCTTATCGTATATATATATATGTAAATAATACTGCGAAGTGCTGGTAAACCTCACTGTGCCCAAATTCACATTACCCATGGCCATGGCTGCTGCACCTCTCTTCAACTTTCTAACTCGTTCACCTTTCACTGAAAAATCTGCTGTGATATCACTCTCCATGAGTGCACAATGTCGCTCAATGCAGCCCCGCTCCTCTTTATCGTCCAATAATCAACCGCTGTCGTCGGAGCAAGCGGTTCTCGAAGCGGTTGCGAATTTCGATGCTAATGAAAAAACTCTGCCGGCCGTGAGGACGTTTGAGAATGATTTGGCAAGGCTAACCGTAGTTGGTGCTGTCGACTTCCAGCAGGCTCTTACTGCTGCTGCTGCAGATGGCGGAGAAGCCGCCGATGAGCATATATCTTCTGGTCTCACTGCCATGGTTGTGGAAATTGTCTATCCCGGCCAATCTGAGGACCGTAGCACTGTTTCAACACGATTGGTGAGTTCTTGGTTTTAATAGATGTGTACTTGTTGTGGTTTGATTTTTAACTTTTTTTATTCCTTTATTTTTCATGTTTCTGCTTGTTGGTTTGCTGTTTACTGTTTATGCTATTTTAATGATATTCATGTTGCAACCTTTTTCCTAGCCCAAACTCCAAGGACTGTATCTATGATTTTGTAGACTCCAAATTATTAGCATTTGTAATGATTGAGTATCATTAATTGTCATTGTTGCATAGTTTTTACCCGCTAGGAAAGTGAAAGAGAAGGCTATAAAGCTTAAGAAATCACTGGAAAAGGAAGTCCTGGACGGGACTATGTCAAAAAATATACTTGCCATGACTTTCAGACAAGTAGTTTTGCAGCATCTTTGGAGTCTTGACCTGACACTTTTTAGCCCCGGAAGTGAAAGAAATATGAATGATCTTGAAAATCCAAGAGAGGTAAGATAACCTGTATTAGTTCTGCACGCATGCTTTTTGCATGGTGTATAGGGCTTTTTCGTTGCTGTGATATTGAATTGTATGATTCTGATCTGCAGGTGCTGAGTTATCTTATTCGATTTTTTCCATCAGCAGGTACCTGAATTGTTGAACCTCAGTTCATCAGATGAAAGGATCGTTTCTGTCGTGGCAGAGGTTGTATGCACTGCTGCCCTTGAAAGCACCGAAAGAAATTTCTTTCCTGGATCGTCTATGAACATGGCAAATAGGTTCTTTAGTTTGTCTAAAGCGTACAAACGGATCTCATCCAGAGATTCCTCTGTTGTGCTGTATAATCTTCTTGAACATGAGATTATTGCTAATGCCGGGACATTGCTAAAAATGTTTTCCTCGGAAAGGGGGAAAGTTAAACTTATGGAAAGAAAATTAAAGAACAGTTGGTGGACATCATCTGCATTCTTGAGATTGCAAAAAATTGGTGGCCCTGAGTTTTGTTCTTGGATAAGTGAATGTGTACCTTCATACATGTTAGAAATTGATGCCAATAAACTCAGTGGTGTGAAGTTTAAAGGGTGGAAGAGAACGAAAGAAAATAGATGGGGAATTGTTCTTACACATTCCCAAATGGTAAGTTTACTCTCTTTCTAGATTTGATTGCAATCATATATGTGACCAACTTCTATGCGAGGATATACATTTGATGATTGAGCATGGATAACATTATAGAAGGAAGTATTGTTGATTTTCTGAACTTGCTTTTGTCAACACAGAGTATATTTGTCGGTTGTTATAACCACAATGAGAACAAGCAATTCTTGTGATTTGTTTGAGCAATCAAACTATTTTATTCATGGTTATCTGAGCAAATGTGTTAGTGTAATTCTATGTCTGGTATCTGTGATAACCTGATGAATAAAACATTTTTATAGACTATGGTGTTAGATAATTTAAGACTGAGCTTACAATTGGTATGCCTAAAACAAGACCATAGAAGAGTATCAAGAATTAATGTCTTGTTTCAGATGTTGTAGTCGTATGCTGGGATTCTTGATAGAAATTACTTGGTTAAGGTTTTAGCATTGTACCAACATTAATACATCATATTTATGTATATTTTATATATGCAGAGTATGCGTGCCGTCACATAACTTCATTGGTTCACAGGTTGGATTGGCTGACATTTTGGATATGTACTATGAGGATTTGTATACGCTACCTAGTAAGAAACTATCATGTTACGCCATGACAAAACCATCCAACCTGACCACGAATAAGGTGGTGCCTAATTGCGTTACTTAAACCTTCCCACTACATTGATGGATGTTGATATTTGTTTTCCCTACACATGTATTTTTAAATAATTGAAGCAATGTGGAAATTTAATAATTCTGGTTTTTGTTTCAGGGCCCTTCTTTGTTAAAGTTGTTTGCAACTGTCCTTGTGAGTGGTATTTTTCTAATGACAATCAGTGTTCTGAGTAAACTTCATCCACATTTGCCTATTGGAAAGAAACATATTCAAGAGAACTCCAAGCAACTATCATCTGACATGAGCTGTACCCCCATGAACTCTGTGGATCCCTCTGAGGTATGGTAGAGATGAGGTATAGTTAAGTGGTTTGTAAGGTTGAGGGTTGTATTGACATTATTACTAAGTAAAATATTTACCTGCACTAAAGCAGTAAAGTAAAGGAGATGGTTGTTTGCAGTCCAGTGATGTAGCTTAGTTTTAGATTTTTCTGTTTTCCTAATTCGTAAGTAACATTTGATTTACATGTAGCTGGAAGCATGCTGCGTCGCAATAATTCATAAATTGAAGGATTCTTATGGTTGGCCCGGAGAAATATTCAAAGACTCTGGGGCATGTGCATGGATTGGTGAACTTCCCAAATTTCTGAGGAAAGTAGATGATAATAGCTCCATTATGAACGACATTTTATCAAATTTACCACCAGGAACAAGTTCTGAAGAGATGAAAGCCTTGGAAGATATCGCAAGTTATCAGGTATTTCTCAAAATTTTAAAATTTGTACTCTAGTAAAGCAAATCTGAAATAAGATTTGTTCCTTGACTTCTCTCTGTATTGCCTATTCCAAAAACTTCATTAAGCAAAGTAAGTTCTCTCGAAACCAATTCCTTGCCATAATACACTTACTAGAACAACCTATAATTGCAATGCACATTGGTACTGATATGGTTTTATAATCTTATATATGATTTCTATACCCTGTTGTGCAGGTTGTGGTGTCCGCTGACTGGAAAATCATTGGATTTCAACCAACCAATCGTATTTCAGTTAATAATTGGGCATCAAACCCATTGGCAAGAGAACTATACGGCGGAAAGAATCTTTCTCCCGGTATGTGTATATATATATAATTTGTAGCCGGTAATGGATTCTATTGGATTCCCTCGTCCCAGGCATAGGCATTTGGTCAGATTTCTAAATGCGTGTTAATTGCAGGGTTGATAGAACCTCGTCTCAACATCAGACATCCCCATGGAGGAGCAGTTGTAGCTTTGGAGCTGTTGATGTCTTTAAATCCCAATTCTTGTTTTGCTTTGGTTAGGTCTTTGGAGCAGTAACACTGTGGGATATTTATATATTTATTTTTAACAATTTAACTGTTATTTATGTTTGGGCATGTTTATTTAAGTTTTTTCTATTTTTTTTTCTATATACTAAAATTTACCTTCAAATATTTCATGAGACCATTATATATTATTATTATTTAAAGAAAATTTCAATTTACCTTAATAAAGAATCATAAATAAAAATAAAAAGTTAAACCTTTCATGTGAATTTTATTTTAAATAATATGTTAATTAAAATAATATATTTTTATCGAGAAATATATTTAATTTATGCTGGAAATAAAAAGAATTTAATGTTTTTGTGATTGGAATTTAAATACAAATATTTAACTAGATAATCACACATTAATCTAAAACTTTAATAATTGATTCGATTACTATCTAATTGGTACTTCTTGTTATTTATTTATTCCTAAATATACAAAAATAATATGAATAAAATAATTAATAATGATAATATAATATGTGATACATATATTAAATATAAAAATTATAAACTATAGCTGTTTTTTTTTATCGTAAAATTATAGCAAATATTGATTAGGTGATTTTCTGAAAACACCTTCAAACAATAAATTAAAAAATAAGATATATAGACCTATATCTGTCACCATAAATAAATAAATAAATAAATAAATAAATAATAATAATAATAATAATAATAAATTGCTCATAAATCTATTGTGATTTCAAAATTCAGTTTAAATTTCTCATTTGCTTTAAAAATGAATTTTATGCAACAATTTTTTAAACAAAGTATAAAAAAAATTTACGCTCAATGTCGAAACCAGAAGAAAGTTATATAAACAATTTTACCTACTAATAATAATAATAATAATAATAATAATAATAATAATAATAATAACAAATCTACAAAATAAAACAAAAAAAAATCAATATAATAATATTAAAATAGAATAGAATCGATATAGATACCCACAAAAATATTGTTAATTTGATATTTATTATCTTTTTGTATTTTATCATCTTTTTGCATCTTCATTTTCTTTTCTTTAAAAGATACTATAAAACAATTTCTTATAAGAAAAAAATATATTAAAAATAAATAAATAATAAATAGGTATAATTAAAAGAGAAACAATTATATATATCAAAATTTTTTATTACTTCAGTATATTTACTACTACTTATTATACTATTATAATTTATAAAATATAATAAAACTATAGAAATAATTTTTCATAAAAAAATAAAAAATCAAAATATGATCTTTATAAAATATAATAAGAATATAAAATAATTTTAAATAAAAAATAAAAAATCAAAATATAATTCCAATTAAATCGCATATTTTTCTCTTTTTTCAGGAAATAGTAAAAATAAATTTTTTAAATCTAAAAAACAATCACTATTTTTAATATATTTACTATATTTTGAATAAATATATTTATAATTTTAAAAGATTCTAAAATTTAGTAACATAAGTTTGTTTGATGCAATTTTAAAAATATAAAAATTTGACAAAAAAAAAAAATAATAATTATGTTTGTGCAATTTACCCTAAAAAGTAAACAAAATCACGAGTACGCAAACCCCAAACCCGACACTCAATAATTCCCTCTTTTCTTTTCTCACTCATACATTATATATATATATATATTCCCACTCGTGTGCACTGAACCTTTCCTCTCCTTTCCTCCTCCTCCATTCACAGCATAATTCACTTCCATCCGTACAGGTTTCTGCAATAAAAATGGAGTATACAGCGGATTCGATTTTCTCCCAATTTCTATGGCTAATTTTGTTCCTCTCGGCGTCCGCCGCCGTCGTGGTCGCACGCGCCGCCGCGTCCCGGCGTCGGCGCCGCCTTCCGCCGGGGAGCCTGGGGCTGCCATTGATCGGAGAAACGCTGCAGCTGATCTCGGCGTACCGGACGGAGAATCCTGAGCCGTTCATCGACGAGAGGGTTGCCAAATGCGGCGCCGTTTTCACGACGCACGTGTTCGGGGAGGCGACGGTTTTCTCGGCCGACCCGGAGACGAACCGGACGGTCCTGCAGAACGAGGGTCGGCTTTTCGAGTCGAGCTATCCCGGTTCGATATCGAACCTCCTCGGCCGGCACTCGCTGCTGCTGATGCGCGGCGGCCACCACAAGCGGATGCACTCGCTCACCGCCGCCACCTTCGCCAACGCCGCGGTCATCCGAGACCACTTGCTGCTCGACGTCGACCGCCTCGTCCGGCTCAACATGGACGCCTGGACCGGCCGGGTCACCCTCATGGACCAGGCCAAGAAGGTACCTTTTGAATTTTTAACATTATTTATTTACAATAACTATTTTTAATATTATATTAAATATTGAGGTTTGATTTTTTAATATTAGTATTATATTAAAAATACTCCCTTCCGATGACGTTTGATTTTTTAATATTAGTATTATATTGAGTTGTAGTAAAAAATATATAAAAGTATCTCTATTAATACTACTGTGTAATATAAAGGTAATAAAATTTGTGTGATATATTGGAAGTTGGAAAAATATTTATTATGTTAGGAGTACAATTACTAAATTAGAAAATTATAACTTTATTTTTAGAGAAACAAAAATGAAAAATAACAACATTTCAATAAAACAGATAGAATATCAAAATATTATTTATACTAACCTACAAATCAAAACCAAATAAACTCTAACTAATTAAGAAAATTGTAAAATACTGTTTTTTCTGTGTTTTAAACCTATTTTACAATAAGGTAATTTAATTTAATTTAATTAAAAAATTTGCTATTATTGCAGTATCTATTTCTTCTGTCTCATTTATCTTTTGCGTTATTATATTTAATATTAAAAATATTTTTATATTTTGTATAATTTTTTGCACAAATGTTATAATATAGTATTATAAGATACTACTATAAATATTTTTGCTAATTTTCTTTTACTTTGTACTATATTTTTATATAATAATTAATATTTAAAGATCAACATGTAAAAACTAAATACAACCTTTGGAACCTTCGAAGTCGGGCAGAGGTAATACTCCCTCCGTCCCGTAACAAAGTATCTATTTTTTCATTTTAGTCCGTCTCATAACAAAGTATTCATTTTTTTTAGTAACTGTACTATCTACCTAACATTACAAATACCCTTACAATTTACAACATATTACACAACTATCATTATCTTTATCATACGTACTAATAAAGTTATTTTAGTCATTTTTATTTTATTTTTACTATGTTCCAATATAATATTAATATTTTTAAAATTATATAAAAAATTAAATGAATATCTATTAAATTGAGTAGAATAATAGTATAATATTATTCAATACTAGTATACTACAAGTGATGGGAATGATGAGTTCATGTTAAGAAAAAGAAGGAAAGAAAGAGTAAAATAAACAAAAAGGATATAACATGACTCAGATTTCCATAGTACTCTGCTCTGCTCTCTCTGTCCCAAAAATTTTTATTCCTTAAATCACTTCAACTACTTTGGAATGATTAACAATTCCCCCACCCCGCAAACACGGCCGTGTGGGTACCCGTGTTCCTTATTCTTTATCCTATTTAAATAAGCAGACAGCATAATGATAAGGAGGGGTGGGTTCACACATGTGCATGCAGATGCAGAAGCAACATTATCATATCATATCATCAAGGATTAAATTAAATTAAATTAAATTGAATAGAATATATATAAATTTCCTTTTAGCTAAGCTAGGGCATTATGGGTTTGTTGTTTCGTGATTGGATGTGTGTGCTTTAGGAAGGTTCTGTATCCCCACACTAATCATTCCTAAGCCACAATGGCTTGTCTTCTTCTTTAATTTAATTTATATATGCATATGGATAGATAGATGGATATATAGATGATGGGTTTCAGAGCTACTTTTTATTTATTTATTTTGTAGTAATTAAAAAATATATATATTTATTTATTTCAGATAACTTTTGAGCTAACAGTGAAGCAGCTGATGAGCATTGATCCATGTGAATGGAGTGAGGATTTAATGAAAGAGTATATGTTGGTTATTGAAGGCTTTTTCACTGTCCCTTTGCCCTTTCTCTCCATTTCTTATACAAGGGCTATCCAAGTAACTCACTCTCTCTCTTATTTATTACTCCTTCCGTTCAGATCCTTCCGTTCAGATACCATGTCCATATTGCCGTTTCTGTCCGTCCCACATACTATGTTATTTTTTTTTTTTAAAAATTATTACACACTTTAATCTCATTTTAAATTTTTTAATTTTATTTTTTTAATTTTAATTAAACTAATTAGTTATTTTAATCTTAATTTATAATTATTTATATTATAGGATAATTATTTTCACTAATACATTCTTAATTATTTAATAATTACATCCTTCCTAAAATACACGATATCCGGGGACGGAGGGAGTATTATTATTATTATTTTTTATTTATTTATTTTTTTTTTTCAAAACAGTATAAAATTCATCCATGATTATGAAAATAGTACGAAATTCCATTTAGGTCAGGATTTCTAATAGTTAAAAAGAATTTTATATTTAATTTATTTTGTCATTAGATAACGGTATTTATTTTAGACGTATTTTAACAGAAAATATTGTAGAATGTTTTGGAATGGGAAAAGTATTTTGAAAATGAATATATTCCTCCATAATAAATATATTTTTCCATTAAAAAAAAAGTAAAATTATTTTTACTTTTTAGAGTTATGTGACAAATTTGAAAATAGATTATGAACACTGTATTTTGCCACACAAAAAAGTATTTCACTACAAATTCTATAATGAAAAATAAAAACAAATGTCCCTCACTGATTATGTATCATTATAGATCAAATTTTTGCAATTTTTTCTAAATATATACCGTTTTTAATTCAATATATATATTAAATAATATTAGGCTCGAAGAAAAGTAGCGGAGGCGTTAGCTACGGTGGTGAGGGAAAGGAGGAAAGGACCGCGGAAGTATGACATGTTGGGGGCGTTATTGGACGAGGAGAACAGCGGCAGAGTGCTAACCGATGAGGAGATTGTGGACTTTATGGTGGCGTTGTTGGTGGCGGGGTATGAGACAACCTCGACCATTATGACACTTGCCGTAAAATACCTCACCGAGACACCTCTTGCCTTGGCTCAACTCAAGGTTAGTTCGATTTTTATTTTTTTTAAAAGTATATCGAGCAATTTCGTATAAATTAGTATTTGGAGCATATTTAGAGTGTGTTTATTTGATAATTTTTGTTTTTTTGTCTTATTAAAGAAAATAATATATTTTTATAGGATTTGAAAAGGATTTTAAAAAGAAAATCCTAAAAATAAAAATTGTCATATTTTGGGAAGAAGTTGCCACTAATCTTTATGTGAGTTTGATTTTGATTTTAAATTAAAGTATATACTATATAATTCCTACAGCTATCAATTAAAATATGATTATTTTTTTATAAAATATCATACTAAAAATATTTAAACAATAAATTCAATCACAAACCAAACAAATCCTACACGTGTTATGTTATACTTTGAATGGAAAAAAAAAGGAAAAAAAAAAAAACACTTTGAAAATTGATTTTGTTTGTTTAATATTTTGATTTGATTTTTTATTTTTATTTTTATTTTTTATTGTGAAGTATAGAAAATTATGTTTATACTATAAAAAAATAATATTTTATATTAAATATTAATTTTTGTAAGATGATAAAATATACATTAGGAATCTTGTAGGGAAAAAATGGTAATTGAACAAAAGTTCCGAGTATTTGTTTTGTGTATGTAAATAATATTTTTCATACGATATCTTATAAAAAAATATATATAAAACTCTATTAATAATAGTATAAAATGAATAATAATAGTTTTTTTTTTTTTATATTTTAAATATATATATATATATATATATATAAAAGAAGACATATCTAGACTTTTTAAAGAATTTTTAGTACTTATGTTGGACAATGTGTCGTGTGACTTTAAAGGTGTCAATTGTGACACGTGGTCCGGCTAAGTTCACCGTACATATTAATTAATACTCCCTCCGTCCCACGTACGATATTCATGTTGTCGTTTTTATCCGTCTCATATACCATATCACTTTCATTTTTTAGAAAATAATTACACACTTTAATCTCATTTTAAATTTTTAAATTTTATTTTTTTAAATTTTAGTTAAACTAATTAGTTATTTTAATCTTAATTTATAATTATTTATATTATAGGATAATTATTTTCACTAATATATTCTTAATTATCTACTAATTACACCACTCTTAAAATATCGTGTCTACAATATAACAGACACGATATCTGAGACGGAGGGAGTATATCGTAATGATATTAGACAGACGTATAGTATGTGAATTGTTATTTACACAAAGTAGGAGGAGTAAAAATGTCAAAAGTTGTGGAAGCCAAGTGTAAAGGCAACTTACTGTAGGCAAGTTGTTTTGAGCGTGCGCGTGCGTACTTTTTGAATCTAATCCTCTTTCTATCGTTCACTTCGTTTGATTGAATACGAATTTTAAAAAAATTAAATAAAATAAAAACTATTATTTTTTTTTTAGTAATGAAAAAACATAGTAAAATAATACTATCTTTGTTCATTTACAATGTTTAGATATTTCTATTTTGGAACGTCCAATTATAAATTAACATTTTATTAAATATCCTACTTTTTCCACAAATATCTTTAATTTACATCACATCGTTACTTTTACAAAAAAGTAATGGCAAAAATATCATTACACTACTTTTAACTACTCATTATAATTAAAATACTATTATTTTTTAACACCGTGCTAAAAGTAAATGTAAACTTTGTAAATGAACGGAAGGAGTATTTTTTTTACTAAAAAAAAAAACGTAAACAAATTTATATGACAATAAAAAAAAAGTGAAAATAAATTTAATGACAGGGAAATTTTTTTATATATATATATATAAAAAATATATTTATATCATATCAAATATCTATATTTGATCTCATTTGTTTATTTATTATTATTAAACCCACAATATTGTAAAACTGGTGTGTTATTTTAGTAAAAAAATTTAATATATATTTTTAAAAATTAAAATATTATACACATTCATTCTTATTAATTACTATTTACCCAATTCTTTATACCGTATCTCCAAAAAATATTTTTTTCAAATTATTTATTAAACAAACATAACACTTTCAAACATCATTCAAATTTCTTCAAATTTCATCTTTATTACGACCTATTTTTTGGAGATTGATTTCAGCTTTTTTTTTTTTTTCCACCATATACCAATTAAAATATTGTTATTTTTTATTTTTATCCGTTCTAAAATAAATTTACAATTTTTTAATTTAGTAATTGTATTACTTACCTAACATAATAAATACTCTTTTAACTTATAATATATTACATAAAATCATTACTTTTATATTACACAACAATAAAAATATAATTTTTTTTTTTTTCACTACCATCTAATATAATACTAATATTAAAAAATTTACGTATAAAAAGTAAATGTCACCTGAGAATATATATTTTTATTTAATTTAAAAAAGAAAAACACCCCTTCGCGCGTATACTAATTTTGTATTTAATTAATTGTTGTCGGACGGACAACACTCGTTCACTTTGTTCCCGGCACGACACAAAGTGGATAGCGACGTGATGCATGCACGCCCTTGTCTCATCTCATAGGGGTAGTTCTGTCATTACACACCACACACCGAGGTTATTTATATTTTAAAAATATTTTAGCTGTTTTTTTTTTACTCAAAATTAATGTAATTTTACTATTTGAATGTTGTACATATATATATATATATTTATAAAATATGTAATTAAATATTAAATTATAACAAAATTTTTAAATAAATTTATCAAAGATATGTGAGTTTAGATTGTGTGTTCTAGTTTTTTTTTTTGGCTTATAATTTTTACTATTTATACTATATCGTATATGCATATGTATATATATTTATATATATATATATATATTTTCTGAAAATATGATATAGAAACTTATTTGAGCATAAAACTCAAATAAAATATACTTCATTCGTCCCGCAAGAATGTTACTACTTGGTTTTTGCGTTATTATACTTAACATTAAAAATATTCTTATGGTTGAATAATTTACTCGAAAAATATCATTGTATTTGTATTGTAAAAAACTAATAAATATATTTTTATCTTTTTCTCTTACTGCGTGTTGATATAAGAATTAGGGCATGGTAACCTTCTTGGGATGGAGAGGGAGTATTTTAAATCAAATTAAAAAAAAATATATATGAAAGCATACATTTTCAAATTTTGATATATAATAGTAAAATTGAATATTTATTATATATGATGTTTGTGAAAAAAATAAATATTTGATATAATAATTTTTTTTAAAAAAAATTAATATTAATGAATAATATTATAATCTTCAAAAGTGCTTATGTAAAGCTTTTGATATTTTATATTATTTTGAAAAATATAAAATTTGGTCAGAAGATGAGTACGTAGATGTTAAGTAAAAGTAAATAAATGTTAAATATGAATTTATAATACTATAAAAATTTTTTAATATAATATATAAAATAAAAATGGTACCGAATATAATACATTGATGAGATTTTTTTTATATATATAAATAATAAAATATTAAAATTAAAAATATAAGTAATATAAAGTTTTAACATTGACTGAAATTGTGCAGAATGAGCAAGATGAAATTATGGCTCGAAAGAGAGAGGACTATTCTCTTCAATGGGAGGATTATAAATCCATGTCTTTTACACAATGTGTAAGTCTAAATGGCACTTTTCATAAATATATTTTTGAAAATTTTAATACTACCTCTGTCCGGCTCTAAGAATTTCATTTACTTTTTGCATATTGATCTTTGAATATTAATTATTATATGTACATATTAAGAAAAAATTACAAAAATATTTCAATTATTGTTTTATAATATTAATAGAAGGACATTTCTACGAAAATTTATACAAATATAAAAATATTTTTAATGTTAAGTATAATGACCCAAAAAGTAAATACGACCTTAGAGCGGAAAAAGTATTATTCATCAATAATAACTATTTTAAAAATATATAATATCAAATATATTTGTTCTTTCACAAATAAAAAACCTAATTTTTTAACACTCATCAATAATAATAATTTTTTTTTTAAAAAAAATATCATATCGAAATATTTATTTCCCTTCATCAAACATCATATCAAATACTCAATTTTTTTTACTATTTTAAACTCTAAAGCTTTCAAAAAATTTCATTCGTGCATATTATACATACATATATAGGTATGTATGTATTTGATTTTTCAACTTGTCTTCTCTTAATTGTTGATTATGTTTTTACAGGTGATAAATGAAACCCTTCGTATGGCAAATATAATTAGCGGTGTATTTAGACGAACAACCACAGATGTTGCTGTCAATGGTGAGTTCTATCTGTGAAATGAATAACATATTAATTTATGTATATATATATATATATATCTTTACAGATCCTATGTTGATCCAACCAAGTTACTATGATGCTGATTTGATCGTGTTAGCATATGTTATATGGGTGATCAACATATGTCTATATATATTTCAGTATATGTTATGTTATAAGATAGTTAATGTTGAGTTATAATATAATATATGCTATATTATAAATATGCTGAAATATGTATAAATATATGATGGTCATCTCTATATCATATGCTGATTCGGTCAAATCAATATTATACTGATTCATACATATATATATATATCTTGATCAATTTAAAATTTTATTAATAACTATAAAAAATTTAATGTTGCGAAAGAAGGCTATACAATTCCTAAAGGAATGAGGGTCTTCGCTTCCTTTCGAGCCGTACACATGAACTATCGTCATTTTAAGGATGCTCGGACTTTTAATCCTTGGAGATGGCCATCGGTGCGCATCTTTGTCTTGACTTATCCAATTGTTCATGTTTTCATATTTTAAGAAATACACATTTCTATATATATGTTTGCCTATAGATTTTCTCACTAATAATAGCTACAATTGTAATATTCTTTGGCTGATAGAATGGTTCGGAAATAACTAATTGCGCGACAAATGTGTTTACGCCGTTTGGTGGTGGACCTCGGCGTTGTCCTGGAGCTGAGCTTGCTAGAGTTGAGCTCTCGGTTTTTCTTCACCGGTTAGTTACCCAATTCAGGTATGTATTAACTACGTATGTATTTTTATTCCGAATCTTTATAAATATAATTTTTCTATATAATAAAGAGTCAAATACATATATATATATTTCTTGTGTGTGTATGAGTTTTTTCATAAATGTGTGAAATAGTTTATAGAAATTTTAGTGCATACTTCACTGATTTATATTAACAAAAAAAAAAAAAAAGACACATTCAAATTCTGTTTGTTTAGATATTTTTTTTAGCTTTGGATACTATTTACTAATAGTATTTTATTAAAAAAATATTATATCAAATAATAATTTTATCTCACAAAATATATATCAAATACTTAATTTTTATTATTTTCAAATTTTCAAAAATCTCACTGTGCGCATCAGTATTGTAATTTATTCATAAATAAATAAATAAATATGTATCATTAGGACTATTATAATTAACATTATCCTGTACTAAATATTATAGCGATTTTTTTGTACCATTTTCACTAATGTAATGACCAATTATGTAGCACAAAATATTTTATGTTAGAATACAAATGTTGTGTATAATTTACTATTAATTCTAACAAATTCTTCATAGGCATTCTAGCTTGTTCACATTTCATTTACATAAATTAAACTCAATGTCTTGAATTCTATTACAGTTGGATTCCCGCGGAACAAGATAAGGTTGTCTTCTTCCCGACAACACGGACTCAAAAACGCTACCCGATTATTGTCCAAAGAAGGTCAAATCATGAATTATAAAGTAGAACTCGCTTAATCTCAACGAAAAATATCTACGCTATAATTCTAGCCGATCAATTTCACTTGCATTCACATAAAATACATGATACAATTGTAAATTGGTTCTTATTTATAATAGTTTTATAGTTAAGTTTTAAAATTTTGTTTAATCAATGTTAATTTTGGGGGAGAATTCATTACTTTTCATTCTAAATAACACATATATGAATACAAGTATGGGCAATATAGTCAATATCTACGTATACACAAATATACAATGGGTGTGTTTGTTTGGAGGATTTTGGAATTTGGATTGAGATTTGAATAGTAAAATTTTTTTAAGTAAAACAGCGGTATAATGTGATATAAATAAATATTAATGTAATGTTTTGAATGTAAAATTAATTTTATTTTGTTTTAAACTCAAACGCAAAACACAAACTCCAAACAAGCACAATCGTTGATCATTGAAAATAATTTAATTTTTTAAACAATATAATAAATCATTATATATAAAAATAATAAGTTAATTAAACTATAAGAGATAAATAGATAAATACAAATTTATTTAATAAAACAATTATGAACAGTAAATATAATTGAAACATAAATTTATATATGAATTATAATTTTTTTACATAAATAATTCTTGTCGTATTAAAAAATAATATTTCCTCTGTCCGCCTCTAAAGGTCACATTTACCTTTTGTATCATTGTATTTAACATTAAAAGTATCTCTATATTTGTATAATTTTTTTATACAAATTTCATTATATTAGTATTATAAGATATTAATAAAACTATTTTTGCAATTTTTTTTTAATTTAAACTATATTTTGATATAATAATTAATATTCATAAAAAGTAAACGAGACTGTTAAAGTCAAACCAAGTATATTGTATATAAACTATACACATAATAATGAAGTGTATAGTATATAGATGCCTTGTTGGCTATTTTCCAAATTTCACATTCATTTCTCATGTTGCCTATATATGTGTATGATTTATATGAATAAACATTCATTTATCTTATTCTCCCAAAACCCTCTTCCCTCTCTTTACTATCTACACTTATATATGTACATACATATATTAATTGCATACACATATACCTATATATATTTATATACTTATCAATATTATATTATATTATTTGTTATATAACACGTTATCAGTACGAGGACTCTTGCCTGTTTTATTTTTGGTTAAATAAATGTCAATCAAAATAATGCAAATATTTTTTCATTGACAGTGTCACGACACATACTATATTGAAATACGAAAAATATTTCTCTCATTTGAAAAGAAAAAAGATGAATGTCAATACTATAAGTGGCAATGCAAAATTAATTGAAGGCTCTGAAGAAGCCAATATATTTCTCTCCACATGGACGAAAATTGTGATACATATGCACCGTTGCCCACTAAAGTTCAAAGAAATTTATTGAGTTTTCATGACACTCAAAAAAATGGTTATCACATTAAAACAATGAGTGATACCGATGATGAATTTTATTGATCACCAATATCATTGATAAAAAAAAATGTATCATTGAGAGATTACCCTCACTCTCTACTGGTTTATATTATGCTATATTAGGTGTTGTTGAAACACAACTCACAGTAGATCAAAAAACTACCGATTTTCAAATATGACATGATCGTCTTGAGCATTCTGGTAGTATAATGATGAGACGAATAATTGAGAATTCACATCGTCATTCATTAAAAGGTCAAAAAATGCTAACTCAAATTAGTCAACTTGTGTTACCTGCACTCAAATAAAATTGATAACCAGGTCATCGCCAGCTAAAGTAGGTATTGAATCACCTACATTTTTTACAAGAATACACGGGGATATATGTAAACTGACAAACCCACCATGTGGGCCATTTAAATATTTTATGGTGCTTATTGATGCATCTACCAGATGTCCCCATGTATGTTTATTATCTACTTACAATATGACATTTGCGAGATTGCTTGCCAAAACTATTAACTTACCGACACAATTATCTGATAATCCAATTAAGACTATACGTCAGGATAATACTAGTGAATATTCATCGAATTCATTTGATGAGTATTGCATGTTGATTGAAATTAATGTAGAGCATCTAGCTGCTCATGTTCATATACAAAATGTTGTGGAAAAATAACTTATTAAAAGATTGCGATTGATTTCTAGACCATTACTAGTAAGGTCTATGTTGTCATTTTCAGCTTGGAGCCATGCAAATTTACATGCAGGAACACTCATAAGAATGAGGTCGACAAACTATCATAGTTATTCCTCAATGCAACTAGTATTTGGTTATGAACCAAATATATGTCATCTACATATTTTTTGGTGTGTTGTTTATGTTCCTATTCCACCCCCAAAAGTACAAAAATGGATCTTTAACGTGGATTGGACATTTATGTCGGATATGAATCATCGTCAATTATAAAATATCTTGAACATATGACGAGTGATTTATTCACTGCAAGATTTGTAAAATGTCATTTTGACAAATCATATTTTTTGACATTAGGAGGAGACAAAAATAAACCGAAAAAGGGATATTAATTGGAAAATACCATTGAATTTTTTTTATCCTCGAACAAAGTAGTGTGAACTAGAAGTTCAATGTATTATACATTTGCAAAATATTGCAAATCAATTACCGGATACTTTCAATGACTCGAGTAAAGTCACTCGATCATATATCCAAGCTGCTAAAGCTCCAGCTAAAATAATTGTCCCTGATGAAAAAATTGCAAGTGCTAATGAATCAGCGACATGCTTAAAGTGTGGTAGACCACTCGTTTCCAAAGACAAACATCTTCGAAAGAAAAGAGAAATGAATGATGATAATCATGAAAATATTATGATTGACATTGATAAACTTTAATCTAATAAAGAAGTCAACCATGATATACTTGCTCTAGAAGAGCACGATTTTGAAGAACATGATGAGAATATTGAATACTCAATTAACTATGTTACTTCAAGGAAATGTTGGAACTGTAAAGAAACAATTATTGATAATTTCTTCTCATATAATTTAACACTTGATATAATGAAAGAAAATGAGGATTCAGAGCCAAAATCTGTTCATGAATGTCGGCAAAGAAATGACTGACCAAAATGGAAAAATGCAATTCAATCAGAATTTGACTCATTAAACAAAAGAGCGGTTTTCGGGCTGATTGTTCAAACATTATATGGTATAAAACCAGTTAGATACAAATGGGTGTTTGTACGAAAAAAGAAATGAACATTATGAAATTGTGAGATATAAAGCTCGTATTGTAGCTCAGGGATTCTCATAAAGACCTGTAATAGAATTTGATGAAATATACTTTTCAATTGTTAATGTAATAACATTTAGATACCTTATGCGCCCAACAGTGTGAGAAAAGCTCGACATGCATCTTTTAGACGTAGTTACTTCATATTTTTATAGTTCCTTGGATACTGATATTAATATGAAAGTTTCTAAGGGAGTCAATATGCCTAAAGCATACAAGTTAAACCCGGGAATCATATTCCATCAAATTAAAAAAGTCATTGTATTGACTTAAGCAATCAGGACGAATATAGTATAATCGTCTCAGTGAATATTTAATAAAAGAATGTTATACTAATGATCTAATATGTTCATGTGTCTTTATCAAGAAAATTAGATCAAATTTTGTCATTGTTGCAATATATGTGGATAATCTCAATTTAATTGGAACTCCCAATATAATTGGAACAAGAGTTATATTTACTTTTTGTGGGTTGATATTCCAATATTAATTATTATATAAAAATATAATACAAACTAAGACAAAAAAATATATATATTTCTATTAGTTTCTTATAATACAAATACAATTTGTATTATTAAATTACTTAAATATAAAAATATTATTAATGTTAAGTACAATGACACAAAAAGTAAATGTAACTCTTGTTACCGATCAGAAAGAATATTATATACATCTTCCGTCTACTAATAATCTTTTCATTTATTTTTGACATGCAAATTTAGGTATATTAATATTTTATTGAAGTGCGGAACAAATTATATATGCAAAAGTAATTTTGTCTTTATTTTTTTTATTTTTTTTTTGTGTGCTTTTTGTTTATGTAAAATATAATTTTACTAAAAAAAAAAAGAAAAAGAGAAGATTTAAGTGTACAACTTAAAAAAAAAAAAAAGAAAAAAAAAAAAAGAGTATATACTGATAAATCGAAAAAAAAAAAAAGTTGGATGACATAAACACCTTAAATTTATCCATTGACTTGACAATTGAGAATATTCGGATAAATTTAAAAAAAAAAAATTCCAAATACATGTGGTGAGTTTTAATAGGAAGATAACAATATATACTATAGGAATAGGATATTTCTATTATCTTATTAAATCTTTTCACATAAATAAGGAAACATATATGTATGCATATGTAGTCCAACGTTAATCTCTCTTCCTCCATCATCAAAACCTCTCTGTAATATCATGGCGCATTCCTCCTCTCAAAGAGACTTCCTCCGCCAATATTACCGGAGTCACGTGCATCATCCACGTGCCGATATCAACTTCCCTCCCCTCACCAACCACTCAGTATTCGCCGCGGGCCGCCACTACATTTTCAACGGCGCCGCCACCGCCGCCGCCTTACATAATTGGATTCAAGAAGACGAAGCTGCAATCCTGGAGGCGCCGCCATTTTCTGACCGGCGGCAAATTCACGCAGACTTGACAAAACTGCAGTTCATAATACGCAGACGACAGGTTAGGTTTCTAGAACACGAAACCACCCGCCGTGCTGACGTGGCAGTCGCCGGCAACGGCGCGCACCGGCGGCCGGGATTTTCGGGAGTGCCACGTGTTAGGGTTAGAGAACTCGAGGACACTACCGTCGTTGACGAGGCTGCGGATAATAATACTAACAGAGATTTGAGTTTGAGAAAAGAGGTGATTCTGAAACACTTGAAAACGAGAAAGTGTGTCGCCGGCGCCGGCGCCGGAGACGATGATGGTTTCTGTGCTGTGTGTAAGGATGAGTTGTACTGTCTAGAAGATTCTATGGTGGGAGTGCTTCGTTGCAGGCACGTGTGTCACGTGCGGTGTATTGTAGAATGGCTTCAACGGGAGAACACTTGTCCGCTGTCCTGTGTAACGCCGTCGCTATCGCCGTCGCTT